GAGGGGAGGGATATGGCAGACGGAGGCTGGCTTTGGGGGCGTAACCGAAAAGTGGGCAGAGGTGTCGTGTGGGGGTGAGTGGAAGATGCAGGGGTGGCAGCGAGGTGTGAGGAAGGAGTGAGTGGCGCGTGATGGGGGCGCCCTGTGCTGGCTGGCTCTGGAGCGAGGAGCTGGTGGGCGCTGGAAGTCTGCACGGGGAGGGGGAGGGGCATGGAGGAGAGCCCCGTGGAGCCATGTGTTACTTCTCCAACTTGAGTTTGGCCCCGGCATCCCGCTCTACGGCTCTGGAGTTCATCCCCCTCAACCCCCCCGCCCCTTCACGTGCACTTCCCTATATTGCCACCTCCCGGAGCTGATTTCATTCCGAGCCGTTGGAATAAGTTAGTTTAACGGCTTTTACTATGGTACAAACGCTCTGCTCCGATTCCCTACATTCCTCTTGGTTGGCCCAGAAGTTGTATGTTCCCAGATCATTGACCTGCTTAATATGGCTGTCTCATTCCAGCCATCGTGTGCGTGTGTGTATACGGCCTGGGCAGTTTGCCCCCGGCCTTTCTCTCCTACCCCCACCCCGGGCTATTTAGTCTGGCATTGCCAGCCAACGTGGCAGTGGGGTGAGCGCTACAGTCAAGTACACTGGCAAATAACCCCACTTTCTGAACAGCCCTGAAACGGCTTCTTAATAGCAGCTTGCCGTGCTGGGTGTGGGGAAACGAGGGAGGAGCAAGATTAACCTTGCTTTCACACTCAAAGCTGCGATGGATCCCCTGCAAAGGCAGGCAGTGAGGAATGGGAAAAGGAACCTACTTGCATGAGGAGGTTGGCAGTAAGTTTAAAGTGAGGCGTGCATTTGATTCACACCAGATGTGAAAAAGATCATTGCACACTTCCAAAGCCTCAGAGCCTACCAAATGTACAATAGTCAGGGTCCCCACCTTCTAATGGTTAATGACATTGTCCACACCACAATTTCTCGAGCTTTTTTGTAATTACTAGGCTTCACTCCCTCCTGAAAGTATAGCTGCTAAAGTGCTTTTCTAGGTAGGAATGGGGTTAAGAGGGTCTCCGAGGTAGAAAGGCCAACTCTATCTGGACCTCGCTGTAAATGTTAACCTTGCATATCAGAATGCAGAAACTTGGTCAAATCTGGTAGCAAGGTGGTGACCAATTAGTCAAAGTATGCCTAGACTCTGGTGGTGGAGAGCAGAGCAATGCCCAGACTCATGCCTATCATGAGCTATAAAGCAAACCACAAGATTACAAACCTGTTGGTTTTGTTTGGATTTCCTTGGAGTCCAGGGAAGTTAGTAGTAACAGCAAGCACTAGAACCTTAGTCACTTTTAGTAGAAATCAACAGAAAGCCTGCCTATGCGATAGCTGGAAATCTATTTGCAGTCATATATTTTTTTTAAACAGTTTCATTTATTTATTTGACAGACACAGATCACAAGCTGGCAGAGAGGCAGACAGAGAGAGAGGAGGAAGCAGACTCCCCGCTGAGTAGAGAGCCCGATGCAGGGCTCCATCCCAGGATCCCGGGATCATGATGTGGGCCGAAGGCAGAGGCTTTAACCCACTGAGCCACCCAGGCACCCCTGCAGTCGTATTTTTTTAAAAAGATTTTATTTATTTATTTGACAAACAGAGATCACAAGTAGGCACAGAGGGAGGCAAAGAGAGAGGGGAAAGCAGGCTGCCCACGGAGCAGAGAGCCCGATGTGGGGCTCAAACCCAGGACTCTGGGATCATGACCTAAGCTGAAGGCAGAGGCTTTAACCCACTGAGCCACCCAGGTACCCCTAGCAGTCATATTTTAAGGGCAGTTATTTTATGTCTGCTATAGAACTGACATGAAAGGCACAAACACTGGTGGATGCTGTGGAATGGAGAAGAGTGTAGGTTTGGATAACTGGGTTCTTTACATGGCCTCTTCCTTTTTATAGGGCCAAGGTCCCGAAGATCCTAGTAAAAACCATAGGAAGCTAGAGTTCTGCGTAACTTGTTGGATGATTCAGGGCAAGTTGAGTGGTCTCTTGTGTATGAATTGGGCCGAGGGGTGATCCCTCCACCTTTTAGTATCCAAGAGGACTTAATGAGGTACTTACCTGGTGTATATTATCTATTATCTGTAGATTATCTATAGATTTTCAGTGAGTCAGGAGAGAGGAAAGATAGGAGGAAAGAGTGGTCTGAGCCTGTGGACTTCCTCCTGAGCACGCATTAAGGGAATGTACCTGGCCTTTGATTTGG